CTGTCCTGCGCCGATGGCTAGCCTCCGTTGAAGCAGGCCGCCGTGGCCGAAATTCGGTCTGGAGGACATTATTATTAAATACAATAAAACGAACTGAAATATTAAAATTCACTCTTTAACAGATACGACAAATCTATATTTAACCTAAAACTACCTATTTTTAATAATTTAACATATCTTGCAACTGAGATCGACAAAAATTCATACAAAAGTCGAGGTGTTAGGTGGTTTGCCGGTTACAAAATGGTTCAAGTTTACACGACCTAATGACTGAACAAACGATACCAATGTCGGTCATAACCAGCAAGGGAAATTGATTTAAAATCTTATTTTCGGAACCTATCTCATATTAAGCATCTTTACCCTATCCTTGTCATGTTTACCATTCGTGCTAAAGACACATCCTAAATATATGTATATACTCATCCACTTGCTCAACCAATTATCAGCTTTCAAATTTGAGGTAAATAATTAAATTGTCTTTTTATAGAAGTAAAAGTGAAAATAAACACAGAGTCCACCTTAATGAATTGTGTGACATCTATTCTCGATTAATAATCCTGAGAACTAAGATGGAATGCCACGTTACCCGTGAAATGAGTTCACGGATTTTTATTGACTATGCGAAATACAGCAGAATTATGCTCCTGATAAACGTCATTATTTAGTGCCAGCGTAATGCTTAATACATTATTATACCACGTTTAAGTAATAATAACTAAGCGGAACAATCTTAGTCTTAGAGTTATAATAAAATAAACTCAGATTTGTTCTCCAATACATGACCTTAAATGCAAGACAGGCGTTTGAAATTGGTGGTCAACAGCATTTCACACAACAGACGTTCGAGACATGTAATATACTTATTCATCGGCGTTTGAACGAATAATGAAAGTGTTTTGTTACATATATTTAAATTTTCAACTCAATCTTGAACGGTTATCGGTGGTTATCTGATAATGCCTCGGAAAGACTATATTCACTATTCCCTTAAAGTTATACTGATATTAGCTCGCCAGGCAGACATCGTTCTGCCCTTTTCGACGACCCTGTCATGTCCTATTAATAATCCTTAAATTCGCAAAAAAATGTGGGTCATGGGCAAAAAAAAACTATCCTATCTCTCAAGTTGGGCCAAACTGCACACGGTGTGCAAATTTGACCAAAAACGGTTAAGTAGTTTAGGAGTCCATCGCGGACAAACAACTTGACACGTAATTTATATATATTAAGATTGGTGAATATCTTTAACCCTTTTCTGTATGAACAATAAACGACGAAGCAAAACAATTCGCATATATTCTTGATGTATTTCTAACAATAGGGTAACCTTCAGTACATCTTATTGTCCGATAATTGAAGACTAAGGAAATAAATTCAGTTATTTTTGCACCCCCTTCAAAATCTATGAGTGGAAAACTGTCTTCCTTATGTACTCGAGTGTAGCAGTTTTCAACCTAGTACCCGTGGAATAAGAAAAGTATCAGTTGGTTACCTGGCCTCGATTTTTCGGACTTGCACTGGCTAACTTGCGCTGATTCAGCCAACGCTATCAGGTATCACAAGACTTATAGACAATGAACACGCAATTTTGGGGAATTCTGTTTTAGTGAAAAATTTCTTCATCATTAGCCCGCAAAAGACTACTATTGGACGTGGCTGTCTATTTGTCGGCAATAGCTACTAGCTATATATAATATATTTGAATAAACCTAATATAATTAATTCGTTACTTACACTAAATAAAATTGTGAATTAGGTATACCATTTTAAAATCTACTTTAAACAGAAATTGTTTTCAAATAATTGGTCACGTTGGTTTTCACACACGTTTTTACAATCAAGATTGTTAAACGTTATCAAAATAGAAAAGGACAATTACAGATCGTGCACTTTGTATAAAAATGTAAATTGTATATATCTTGTGTGAAATAATCTTATGAATATGAAAGTTTTATGTACTAAATAATTATTTTGTATAACTTGCGGTAAAATATTAATAAAAAAGTAATTCAACGGTTAATATTTTATCATACCCAGTATTTCAAATAACATTTTTGTGTTTCTTTATACGAATTAGTAAAGACGCACTATTAAAGTGCCTATATCCCCTCAATCCTCTTAAAATTCACATGCAGCCGCATGCGTCCGTCAAATCCCGACCCACCCATAGCACTTTAAACAATTAAAACTTACATTTATAGACTACTTTTCCATAAAGAAGTTTAGCATTATAGAATTTATACGAAATTCTCTAACATGTGGTCTAAACAAAAGTCAGTTACTCTATGTATTTTATTTTTATTCTCCTGTCAATTTACGACATTTGCCGGCCATACGAAAATGGCGCAATTTTACGGTAGATTAAAAATAATAATTCATAGAGTAACTGACTTTTGTTTAGACTATAGAATAGAAAATTTCGTATAGATAATGTCAAACTTTTATAAGGAAAAATAGTCTATAAATATAAGTTTTAATGGTTTAAAATACTGTGGGTGGGTGCGGTCGCATGCGACCGCTCCGGATTTGACATACGCATGCCATAAAACTAATATTTTTATAGACTACTTTTCTATAAAGAAGTTTGGCATTATAGCATCTATACAACATTTTCTTACAGTTTCTACTAGTTTAAACAAAAGTCAGTTATTCAATGGATTAATCATTACAAAAATACTTAATTGAATTTTGATAACTACATACCAAGCGGATGTCGGTATCGTGAAAATTACTATTATTTCTATATATTACTCGAAATGATTTACATAAAAAGATAAATTATATTCACACAAAAACTTTCATAACAATTTTATAATACAAAAACTATTCTTAACCTAGAAAAATCCAAAAATCAACGCAACAATGTGCAACAAATTTAATTTTAATACGTGGTAATAATTTAATTTAGTCTTAATACGTGGTCGAGCCATGCTGCAGTTACATTAGTAGTATAGTTGTAGCGCGAATGGGTCGGCCCGACCGGGGAAGGACCATGCTGTCACAGAATACCAGCGTCAAATAACAGCTTAATGTTGCTGTGTTTTGTATAGTGAGTGCAGAGAACCGAAGACCCTTTTTTCTGGAAACGAGGCATTCCATCTTAGTTCTCATGGGTGACAACACATCTGCACTTGGATTCGTAATCGAGGATATATGTAGATGTCTATGGGCCACAGCAACCAATTTCCATCAGGTGGGCTGTGTGCTTCTTTGTCACCCTTACCTATAAAAAAAAACAACGAACACTCGACAATGACGCACTTTGAATGTAGATTATAAATGAATATCTATAGACTAACTGAATTTTTATTCTAGAGGATATTTCATTTTGATTCTATAATGCCAAACTTCTTCATAGAAAAGTAGTTTTTAAATATAATTTTTATGGGTTATAGTGCTGTTGGTGGGTGCGGTCTCATGAGCTACGTATATGACGGAATATAGCCGCGGTCTCATGAAACCGCTAGGGGATTGAGCGGATATAGTACTTATTTTATTTAAAATATATAAATCTTTGTCATAAAAATATTACCTACTTACCAATTTCTATTAGGTTTTATTATAAATCGTCAATGATACGTCGAAAATAATCATGTATTGAATTAAATCGTAACTGAATTACAATCATTGATTTTCGTGCATTTTGTGTATTTTTCCCACACGTGTATTTTTCAGTTTATATTTCAGTTATATATTTTTATGATGTATTACATGTATTACATGAATAAAAACAATTTTTTACGCTTACAATTTATCGTTTTATTACCTACATATTTTTGTAAAACTGTCACGAAAGATTGATTGATTGATTAAGCACCCAATTTCATACATCTCCATTTCAGACACCGACGTGTGACCGATCCAGTATGGCTAATTTTAGTAAGAAACCGTGGATAAATAGCTAGTCAATAATATATTGTAAACCGGTAATATTCATTACTATTCGGGTGACAGTACTGTTGGTGCTTTATACACCGGCTGTGCCAATATTTCTCTGGAACCAGAACAAACTTCTGTCTCAAGTCAAGACTTTGTTGAACAAAGTCTCGGATTGGGGGTGACTAAATGTAGTCCAATTAAATATTCAGAAGACAAAAGTTTTCCCGTTTATCAATAAAAAGAACCCCTTTGTCGTATCTCCTATTTCAGGGCACTTCCCTTGTTGCCTCAGCCAGTACCGAATTCTCGGCATCGACATATCGAATGACGTGCAGTTTTGTGGTCATTTGGAAGCGAAGGCCAAATTGGCCTCTAAAAAGCTTGGCATACTCAGCAGCGGACAGTATTTCATGCCGGCACATCGCATCCAACGCAGAGCCGTTCGAAACTTTGGCGACCGAGCTCTTTCCGATCGGCTTAACTCACTGGCACTGCGAAGAGATCTTGCATCACTTTGATTTTCTAGTACCTACCACGGAGAGTACTTGAGAGAAGAGAGAGAATTGTTCGGATTAATTCTAGCCGCTTAATTTCTTAATCATAGTCATAATCTTTATTGCAATATAATAGTAACAATAGATGTGATGTTTTATAAAAATAGTACGCGTTTGAACCCAGTTTGGGCGTAGCAATTATAAAAATATTAAATTACCTCATTAAATATTATTTTTAAAATATAATATTAAATTTCATTAATAAGTTAGATTATATTATTTGAAAATTCTGTAAATTTAATTAAATTAATACACTATACAATGTCAAGTAATAAAATAATAATAATAATAGGCGCCACAACTTGCAGAGCAAACGGCAAACGTGGATACCGCCGTGAATACCCCAGTTGTGGTTGAATCAAATGATGATGGAACAATCGTACACAGTAGTACAAAGTAGTGCTATCCCAGCCTGGAGAATAAGAATTGAAGAACGTATCGCAAAGGCTAGAGCCCTCATCAGCAGACTGATATGCTTCAGGTCAGGCAATACTAGGCCAAGGATTGTGTGCACCGTCAGGATGGCGTTTGCTGGGACAAATGTTAGTTTGCCAGCCGGATATAATGCAAAAACTGACGGAGCGCATAGACGACCTGAAGCAGAGAATCGCTGCTTGGGGAAAACGGATTTGGCGATATACCGAGAGGTCGACACGGTTCAACCAGAATCGTCTCTTCCAGAGTGATCAGAAGAGGCTTTATAAATCATTGGAGCGACCAATAGTAAATGGAACGGGCCACGCACTGAATCAGGCCGACACGGTCTCATTCTGGCGCAGCCTGTGGTCAGAGCCCGTAAAACACAGTGAGGACCCTTGGACGGAAGTTGTGGCGAGTCAGTGTGCGGGTATAACGCCCATGGACCCCGTCATCATAACGCCGGATGACGTAGCTGAGGCGGTCCGTAGGGCCCCGAACTGGAAAAGTCCGGGGCTTGACGGGCTGCATCACTACTGGCTGAAGGGGTTCATGGTGTGTCACGCTGGGCTCGCCCGACAGTTTCAAGAGGCTCTCAACCAGAAGTCGCTCCCAAGCTTCTTCACTACTGGGATCACTCATTTGGTTCCTAAAGACCAGGGTACCACAGACCCGAGCAAATACTGCCCCATCACGTGTCTACCGATCATATACAAGACACTAACATCCATTTTGAGCGCGAGAATCACTCGTCACCTGGACTCAAATCAGGTGATGTCGCGCGCTCAAAATGGATTCGGGGCGGCGGTCGTGGAACCAAGGAACCACTCCTCATTGACACGGTCACTGGCAAAGTGGTGAAACGCAACCGTCGGAACTTCTCCGCCACCTGGATAGACTACAGAAAGGCATTTGACTGGTGCCCCGTACATGGCTAAAGAGGGTCCTCGAGCTGTACAAGATTGACTGTACAGTTCGAGACTTCCTCGGGCAGTGTATGGTTCAGTGGAGTACGATCCTCTGTCATCTAGGCGAGCGGATGACGGCTGCGGAAAGCCGCATAAGGATAAGAAGGGGTATATTCCAGGGCGACTGTCTGAGTCCAGTCTGGTTCTGCCTCTCTTTGAACCCTCTCAGTACTTTACTGGAGGGCTCCGGGAGGGGATTTCAGCTTCGGAAAGGAGGTACAAAACTGACCCACCTTTTCTATATGGATGACCTCAAATTATTCGCCTCCAGTCGTTCCCATCTTATGGAATTGCTAAACATCACTTGCGAATTTAGCAATTCTATTGGGATGGAGCTGGGGACGGATAAGTGTGCGGTCCTCCATGTTGAAAGGGGAAGGGTTGCTAACTCTGAGGGCATAGACTTATCTATGCCCGTCAAATTAAGAACCCTTTCCGAGGCTGAAACATACCGATACCTGGGTACAACAGTAACTCTACTCATGTTATAGGGAGATTTGGGGCACAGAACCTCATAACTATGAGGCACGGGAGTGAAACACCTGCATTTTTTAACTCCAGGTAGGTAGTGAGAAATAGGAAATCCTAAACCTACAATATTTTAGCCTGGTCTATGAAACTAACTCGTACATTTTAACCACTGTTTCTGTTTTTATAAAACAATGCTTAAATCAATATTTATCTAATACGTACCTAATACTATATTTATTTATTTAATATTTATTACTTAATTTATAATAACGGATATATAAACGGCGGATTTAATGCCTTATGGCTTTCTCTACAAGTCAACCCTGCATGGTTTGAGAAACTGAGGTAGGTGTAAACAATTACTTCATAAATAATATTAAATAAATAAGTAATAAAGATATATGCTACAATAAAATGCAAATAAATAGAATATAGTTAGTAAACATATGGTAATTGATAAACGTAATAATAATAATGTCCTCCAGACCGAATTTCGGCCACGGCGGCCTGCCTCAACGGAGACTAGCCAGCGGCGCAGGACAGGATTATAGTGCCCAAGTTTATGCGCAAGCACAGGTGAACTTCTATTCCCTCGCTCTCATAATCCGATGGGACGGTAAACCGACACGACCGGAGAGAGATAAGGAGCAGGACCAACGGCTTTACGTGCTTTCCGAGGCACGGGGATAAGACACCGCCAACTTTCTGACTCCGGGCAGCTACTGAGAATTTCTTGACGGAATAGCTCAATAATTTTTGGCCCAACCCGGGATTCGAACCCAGGACTATATACATAATAATATAAAGTTAAACCACTGTATTATTCCATTAAAATAAAAGGAGAATTTGTGTCAATTAAAATTGAATATCATACTTGCAGAGTTCGGGAGCTCCGCCATTGACAAATAGAACGCCATTTAAGTTTGGATCGGTACTAGGAAACATGGTCATACTCATGTAAGCAGAAAATGAACCTAATGCAATTGTTGAGAAGGTGCTCCAACTTATGGAAAAGATATTGAAATAGATATGGGATCTGATAATAATGGGTTATATCAAAGTCTGGATAAGTAGAAGTTTAGTTAAAAAGCAGAAAGTTTTTGAGAGACAAAGAGAACGTATTGTGACAGTAACTTGATGGCTTATTTCAGCAACTTGAACTCCCCAACTTAATGTATGGTCTATATGTTGGCCAAGATTTTTGACAGATTTACGAAATGATCGCAATGCTCCATTGTTGAATAGGGGAGAAAAATTATTGTTATACAGTCGTTTTTTATTTCATTTATTTTAGGTGATAACATCAAGTTTTATTTGCCATCCTTGTTGGTGCCGTTCTAACAGAGCAGTTCTAAATATAGAGCAGCAAGAAAAATTCTTCTAAATAAAAAGCAAGAATATACAAGCAGCAAGGAATACTTTTTTTTTAACATGGGGAAATGCCTACGCATACCCGCCTCGCGGGGGCAAGGACGGGTTATGTCGGACTTGCACCGACTAAAACCCCATGGTGTTCCACCTTCGTCGCATATTGGCAGGGCTACGGGAACGCTTTCGCACACTTCCGCAGCCCTACCAGCGACTGCCGCCCCATGGCAGCACCTCCTCGGGAGAGGAATCTCCTTCCCATATAAGGCGCACCAGAACATATGGCACGCCTTCCTCCACGGCCTCCAATTGCATCTGCGCAACAGACGCCCCCGCGTCCGATGCGCGAAGGCCATGGGGCCAGGAAAAATGAGCACTTAGAAGTACTAGCCTTCCCGACCCCAGCGGCGGATCTGGTCTATGGCTCCGCCGCCAACCAAGATTCGGCTGCGGAGGATAGGGAGAGCGGTGCCTCGCAATACCGACACTCCTCTTTCTCCGCGACTCCACCCCGGCTGCAGCGGTAGAGGGTGCGGAGTCCCCACCCGCTGCAGTCCACCAGCACACATCCGAAGTGGGCTCCCCAAGCCCACTCGGAGTGGCCACCTCAGGCCGGCCCTTTACCTCGGGCAGCCACGTGGGTTCCTCTTTGTTCACCGTGGGAGACCAAGCCACGGCTACTAAGCCCCCCGCCACGACAAGGCGGGAACCCGTTCGGGGGGGGGGGGGGAGCAAGGAATACTGAAATAGACTTTCATCAAAATATTCAATCACCTGGAGCATCAGAACTAACTCTGGAAACACAAATTCAACCATCACCAACATCAAGTTTGCATTGCATAAACTGTGGAAGGTCACTCCGACATAGCCGCTATCACTCACTATATCTTCTTAGTAGACGCAATGAACGTGAAACAAGAATTTTAAATGTGATATCTAATTGGGCAGTCCCTCAATAGGTTTTTACAATTTATTCGAGTACTATATATTTTTAAAAGCTAATATTATTTTTATTTATTTTATTTATTCTTTATTAGATTCCTTAAAACATACAAAGGGTGGATTTAATGCCTTGAGGCATTCTCTACCCGTCAACCCACGGTGTGATGAGACTTTAACGTTGGTGTAGCAATATAGAATAAGATAACAAAATAAAAATTATAATCAACTATATACTATATACATTTAAGTAATAAATATAACCTATACATATATAAGTATTATACATATACACGTAATTAGTACATATAATAACTATTACTTGTTAACAATATATATATATATATATATATATATATATATATATATATATATATATATATATATATAGAAAAAAGAACAAGTAATATTATGGAATTGTGCCTCTGCTGTATTGTAAGCTTAGGCTTAGATTTATATTTTGAAATATGGTCATACTTATGAAGCCTAAAAATAAATCTTATTCATTTATTGAGAAGATCTCAGATATTATGGAACCTTATTGAGACTGTTATTAATTATCAGTACAGTTTGGTTTAACTCTCTTTGGTGTTTACTCAATCTAATATAATGTCGATTTCTGTTATTGAATAATGTTAAAGTTTTTAGGTGACTTCTTCAATGAGGATTTGTCATCCTTGTTGGGTTTGAGCTAAGGGAGCATCATCACATTTTGTATCTGGACCATCAACATCTGCTGTGGTTATTCAAGAGAGCAATCTAGAGGTTGTTCCGCCAGCAATTGATGAACCACTAAATGAAGAAATTCTTCAGTAACAAATTGTTCATTAACTTGCCAAATTGTTATAGAGCAAAAGGTTCTGAGAATCGATGTTTGGTTGAAAGATGTAACAATGTATAACGCCACAGAGTACCTGTTTCTTAAGGAAAATTCTATTTACAGAATTTAAATATTGTGTGCCACCAACTAGCAGAGTGTGTACCTATCATTTACTTAGTCAATCTTGGGAATTCATTAGAAATACATTTAATGTATCATCTAGCCTATTCACGGCTGATTATATTGAAGATTTTATAGAATTAATAAGAAAAGATACTGACTCATTAGATTTTAACAATATACAGGATATGGAAGACCATTTGCTACATTATTGGTTGGGTATATCTAAACAAGAATTTGGAGTGTTGTTAAATCTAATAACAAGATTAAATGAAATGCGAAATGGGGCGGTTGCCCTTGCTATTTACCTGTTAAAACTAAGAACTGAGGATTCAAATAGGAGAATATCTTCCATAACCCAAATCCCTACAAGCACATTACAGTAAAAACAGCAAGGGAACTTTTAACGGAGGATTTTGTTCTTCCATATTTGGGCCTCAACCATATAACTAGAGAAGAGATAGCAGAGAGAAATCTTGTTATACCAAATGGTCTTTTTGGCAGTTTAGGGGTACAAAGGGTCCCAGTGTCAATTTTCGATGGCACATATATATGTGTTCGTTCAAAAAAATTCAAGTTATTTATACCAAAAACGAACATACTCATTACACAAGTACCGCAATTTAATAAAAATGTTCTTGATTGTGTCAACAGATGGTCATATTATTGATGTTTTAGGCCCCTATCCAGCAACAACCTCTGATGCTGACATAAAAAGTGAATTTGGAGAAGGTAAGCCCTTAAGGCAGTTCTATAATAGAGGAGATGTATTTATTCTGGATAGGGGCTTTAGAGATTCGATCTCTTTATTAAATGAAGCAGGCTACGAGATTCAAATTCCTGAATCTGTAAGAGAGGGTGAATTTCAATTCACTACACTAGAAGCAAATAAAAGTCGCGCCTTGACAATATGCAGATGGGTGGTTGAGGTGGTGAATGGCCGCTTTAAACGCGACTTTAAAATCTTTAGACAAGACTCTTATAATATATTTTCTAAAAATATTACTAAAGATTTTAAAGTCACTGCTGCATTGCTTAATAAGTTTCAACCTCTCATTACAGACAGGCCTGAAGCTGGTGAAATCCTACAAGTTTTCCACGATAATATGAATAGGGAGAACATTCTTGCTGATTTTGTTAGTAGTAACAATTTAAATACGAGATGATCCCTATTCATAAACATAAATGAAAACAATATTAAAGATTTCCCCCAGCTTACATACAGCAACTTATTTCTAATATCTTTTTTATATCAGAAAGGTGACAAGCGAGCACACAGTCCATCTGATGGTAAGTAGTTGCTGTGGCCCATAGACATCTACATCTATCCTCATTTGCGAATCAAAATGCAGATGCGTTTTCTGCCTTGAGGACTAAGATGGAGTGCCTCTTTTCCAGTAAAAAGGGTATCCGGTTCTCTACACTCACCATACGAAAAACAGCAGTATTAAGCTGCTATTTGACGCTGGTATTCTATGAGAGCGTGGTCCTTCCCCGGTCGAGCCGACCGGGGAAGGACCACGCTCTCATAGAATACACACAATTAATATAGCTGCAGGATGGCTCTACCACGTAAATAAAATATCTGTTGGCACATACCAAATAAAACAGGCCCGTTCGTACTGTGGTGAACATGAGCGAACGGAACCTTCACAATAGAAGTGAGCAGGGAGGGGACGCAAGACCTACTGCATGGCTTTTAAGAGGCAGAATAAGTCTAGACACAGTGGTCAAAAAATATACTTTTGTTTTAATTTGATTGACAGCTCTTTAACCAACCGAGACGCCACACTAGCTTACTATTGTAACTGCAAGGTCGAAAAGAACAAAAGACAGTAGGTTCTTGCGCCCACACAATGACAATAATGTGGGTTGGGTTATGAGAGAAATATAACAGAACATGTGTAGCCTCTGCTTTTCTAGATAATATTTTGTTGATAAGTGAAGAAAATAATTAAATAATAAAAAAATTTGAGTTTACCTTACGTTCCAGTATGGTCCTATGGCTGTGTAGCAGCATAGTGAGGCAATTCTCATCTACGTCTCTATTTTCTGGTGTTACGAGGCCAACCAAAAGAAGAATGCGGACAGACTAAATAATCTACAAAGAACTGCCTGCTTAATGACAACTGGAGCTATGTGATCATAAACAATCAACTTTAAGTTTGTTGTCTGGCTGTCCGGGCTCATATTTTAATAGTTGAACCGATGGTGATGAAATTTTAGAAACAGATACAAAGTTTTGAGCTGACCGTTGAAAGGCGGTCGTACAGACTCGCGCCGTTTTTGCACGAAACGAAATCGATGCGACCTTACGGCTACGCGGGAACGCAGGTCCGGATTCAGCCCGCATACCCCAAGAGACGCACAAGCATTCACCATGCCCGCCCTCACGCCCCGGTCTTCAGAGTTCCTTTAATCAAACCATGAACAGAATTCCCTTCATTAAGGTTGTGTCCTTTTTCGAAATTGACTTCCTGATTGACTTCTTTTATTTTTAGGCTGTCTAAAAAATGGAGGAGTTTTTTAAATCGATTGTTTGTGATCTTTATTTTTTGTATGTATGTCACACACAATATATTCACCAATTTATACCCCATTTGGTGACTCTTTTTAATTAAATAGGTATACTTCAGGTGCAGTCCCATACTAATTTGCAGAAAAAATTCAACTTCTAAGGGTTAGAAAATAGGGTATGAAATGAAGTTTTTAATACAGTTGCTCAAAAAGTGGCGTATTGCAGGGACATAGTGTTCGGGATGTGGGCTATTACACACTCGAGCTTTTTCTTTACCTTTTTACGAACTCGTGCGTTCTCTTTCCCAACTGTCAAAATAATGTCTATTAAAAAGAAAAAACCAACCACGAAGTTTTTACTAAAAAAAATTCATAGAAGTTTTTATGATTCATGCAAATATTTCTTAAAAGAAGCTACTAATTTGTTTCAATATCGATTTAATGATTCGATTCAATGAGTTAGGTTAGATTTCATTTCATTTCATCTCATTACATTTCATTTTCATTTCATATCAGTAAAAAAATTCTACTGAAGACTTGGCTGTATGGGCATAGTTCCCTTTGTCTAACCAGAATTGGTGAAGAAAACAAAAAAATCTGCTTATAAGCTTATATTCTTTTACGGTTGGCGCCATTTTCCAAAAATGTTTTTTGCGAGTTTAGTTGTTTGTTGCACAAAATGAGTAATTTCGACGATATTTTATTTGAATTAACACCACCGGAACTAAGTATAATTGCACAAAATGTTTCGGAGAACATTTTACCGGAAAAGTCAAAAAGTCGCTACATATCTACATACGACGAATTTATTGCTTGGTGAGAAGAGAAAAAAGCAAATAGTTTTTCAGAGAATGTTATGTTGGCATACTTTTCCGAACTCTCAGCAAATACCCAAAACTAAGTTAGTTGAGTTTATTGTGTTTTTATTATTGTATTAAATTGCTTCATTTTTTCGCAACTGTATTAAAAATTGTTGTTCAGGACACGTGCGGAACCGTCAATTCAACTTGTTCCGACTGTCAACCCTCACCTTCGGCTGCGCCTCGGCTCGGGTAGACTTTTGTCGGAACTATTTGCAATGACGGGCTTTCCGCACTCGTAGTGAATTAAACTATTTTAATGTAACTATTTAGTTGACGTTGAGATTGTGATATTCCTTCATGATCATTACAGCCCAAGCCCATAGAGCACGATCATCACTGAGCCACATGCATTCATCTAATTTCTGCATGTTTTACCAGGACGCCACTTCATCTAGCTAGGGTCGCCCTACACGAACTTTACGAAGCTGCCACTCGAGAAACTTTTTGCCTCATCGGTGTTCGGTTCTTCGAGTTATATGGCCGGCCAATTGCCGTTTCGGCTTACTAATCCGTTAAGCTGTGTCGGTTACTCTGGTTCTACTGTGGATATCCTCATTTCTAAGTTTATCTCGAATAGAAACCCCAAGCATAGCCCTCTCCATAGCTCGCTGAACGACCTGTAGCGTCCTTATACGGCCAGCAGTGAAGGCCCACGTCTCAGATTTATAATCCATCATTGGAAACACGCACTGGTTGTATAATCTAGTTTTAAGGTTTTGAAGTATACCTGACGAGAAGATGTGTCGTAATTTCCCGTACGCCGCTTAGACGAGTGAATGAGACGTGTTAATCCGTCGATTGACCTCTCGGTAGAAGTTGGACTTACGTAGTCAGACTATTTGTCCCAGGTGAACGTACTAATCAACAACTTTGAACTTTCGACATTCCTTAGTGCTTTTGATATTCTTTAGTGCTCAAAATATTTAAAAAATAACTTTTAACAAAAATAAAAGCCGACTTCAAAGGACTAAAAAGAATAAAACAATTTCACGACTTCAAGACTTTAATTCTTTTATATACTATGGCTCAGCAGATTCAGAATGTTAAAATAATTTATTCTTTTATGTTCGTTGGAGTTGGATTTTACTATTGTTAAAAGTTATTTTCTGTTTTATGGACAACAACAAAAAGCCACTGTTTCTTCTAAATGCCTAATTTCCAAAACTTCATCACACATCTTTTCCTACTTTAAGTGTTACATTTGTATTTTTACAAGTGAGAGATCATTCAGTTTACGTCATTGTGGAAACGTTTTTAATCCCTTAATCGAAAAGCAGAAGCTAAAAAGTCTGGTAATAATGAAAACGCCGCAGTGTTAACGAATTGGCACTGACTATAATCGACATGCAGGAAGTCGATGGATGCAGTGACTCAGGCAGTGGACTTGTGAAAAGTTGTAATGATGAAAATGATAATAATCGACATACTCTTGAGATAAAAAACACACTTAAATAAAGATATGGTTCTGCTTATGGGTACTGTGGATGAGTAGTTTCCCGTTGTTTTCAACAGCTGTCGATTGAGGGAAAGGGGACAAATCTGAGATAAAATTGGTAGTGTTTGTTAAGTTTGGGGCTGAACTTATAGTTAAAAAAGATTCGACCTTACTTATTGCATGTGTGTACGTCATCTGAAAACTTACAAATTTCATGAATTGTTTTCAATTCTGTTGCGCTCTCCTAGTGGAAAATACCTACACCGGTTTTCAGAATATTTTTATTCACTTCAAAATATTTTAGTTCGGTTTTTAAAATATAAATTTTATTAATCCCCGACACCAAGTACTTCAAAGACCAAGGGCACACTTGGCGAGAAAATTTGATAAAATAAAGTATTACAGTACCCGGTTGACCGAGCTTTGCTCGGTATTTTTCGCTCGGTTTTTTTTTAATTCGTGTGTTTTGGAAATTATATTTGAGGAGGTAACAATCAAAACCTGATTTGTCACAAAAAACAAAGAAAAAAAGTTGATAATACCATCTTCCTCTACTCTATGGGCTCCATAT